CCCCCCCCCCCAAGTACGTCAAACTTTCAAACAAAATTTTAAAAAAATTAACACCTAATTATAATTTAATCCAAAACACACTTCACTATTAAACTGTATTAAAATATAAAATTTCCACTTACAAGAACTATCACATTATTAAAATGACTTTAATACTAGAATAGTTAATTGTCAACAGTTGTCACAGTTATTCATTGAAGCAGTAACTCAATCTAGATTGAATTTGAAAACAAAAATTGCAAAAATTAGACAATTATATAATACACACCATTTATCTGCTGCTTTTTCATTTACAAAAGGTGAGGTCAAATTTTAGATAATTTTCGATTATGCAATATTTTTACACAGGATAAGAAGTAGATTAGCGAAACGTGACCTCACCCAATGATTATATAATAAAAAGGAAACAAAACAATTTGACTAAAAGAAGGCTAGATTGACAAATTATGTGACAAACTCTTGTGCTATATTGAATCTGTTTATTATGGGCCTGTGAATTATGTTTAATTCAAAAATATTCACTGAACATCATCAATCCATGGTGAAGTGAAGTGTTCATCCATAGTTACGACTGGCATCAATCTTTCACCATCATCGTTTCCTGGAAAGATAATTGCAGACAGATCAACTTCATCCTCATCCTGCCACTCAACATCCTCTGAATGTGCCTTTTCTCTTCTGGCAATAACTGCCATGAGTTCTCTTTGCCTTCTAGCAGCGAGTCTCAAAGGAATGATGGGTTTTATCTGAGTTGATTTTGGAACAGTTTAGGGTGGCACATTCTCCCGAGCCCAAGCTCTGTCTTGTCCTGCGTGATTCCTCAACATTGTTTGTGAGGCAAAGTATAAGTGACATACTTTGCAAATTCGATCAAGTAAACTGGTCTGCAAAGATGGACAGTAAAGATCATACTTTGAAAGATCATACTTTGAAAGATCATACTTTGAAAGATCATACTTTGAAAACTCCTGTTGATCTCGGCAAGGCTATACACAAAACAAGGCTTCGAAACAGCATACTAATACTAGCGCTCCTAGCGAGAGGAATCGTGAATAACACATTCAGGAGATACGCATTTCATGCTATTTTGACATTAAACTAATTCAAATGTTTCACAAATTATTTTTAAAGCTATTAAATTCTACTAAAAAATAAAAAAACAATTTAGAAATAAAAATTTTTAAAATAAATGTGTGACGTCACACATGGCCTGACACCCTCCCCCCCGCCACACCTTCCTACCCCCCCCCCCCCCGGACCGTGACGGACTTTATGGACGGCCCCAAATGCAAATCAGCATATAAATTATTTTTAAAGCTATTAAATTCTACTAAAAAAAAAAAAAACAATTTAAAAATAAAAATTTTTAAAATAAATGTGTGACGTCACACATGGCCTGCCCCCCCCCCCCCCGCCACACTTTCTTACCCCCCCCCCCCCCGGACCGTGACGGACTTTATGGACGGCCCCAAATGCAAATCAGCATATTTGGTGGAGCTATGAAGGCTTGCCACTGTATCTCTCATCATAATTTATTTACCGGTACCGAACCGGGTATCTGGTACCGGTACACTAACATAGTTAGTCTCTACTCATAACTCTGTAAACTAACCATACTGGTAATACAAAGTTTTTTTAAAATGGTTTGGAACAATCAGGGATCATCAGATATGCACCAGGGCTTAAAATGTTTAGTTTCAAATGAGAAGTAAAGCTCAAACTTACCGGGTGATAAAACGTTTACATTTTATTACCGGTAATTTAGATGAAATACTTCACGGTGAGTGTGAGCAACAATTAAATATAATGAGACTTCGACTGCAGTTACTTATTTTAAGATATTGACGCTTTTGAAAATATGAACAATGATACTTCTTAATAAATAGAAATGGACATGTCCCCGAAAAGCAATTTTAAATATTTTTATTCTGTGTCCAAATATTGGATGCATTTATACGAATATTTTCTATGGGATAAAGTTTTATGTCGAACCAGAGCCTGAGTTGTCATTATTATATATTAAAGTTACACTGGTAATAGTAAACATTGACATTCAACTTTCCTAATTACCGTACAATGTAATCAATTCTCAACATGTCTTATAATTTGCCAAAAGCTGTTTAATATTAAGTGTTAGAAGTAGAAATGTTTAATTTGTACCGTAGAGAAGGTTTGTAAATTATGACAGTCCTTATAAAAGAAATTAAAGTATTAAAAAAAATATCTAAGAACAAGACAATACAAATATTTCTTGGTAAGTACATCCTCATGTAGGTAGTTTCAAGATGTAACCTTTTCCCTTTTATTTTTATTATTTCGAGGTTCACTTTTTTCAATAGCCGAACTGTCCAATGAGGGCCATGAGTTAGATGTACCGGTAGTCCGAGAACCAGCATTAGGAAACCATTGCTCCACAGCACCATGACGAAACATGTGTTTCTTCAGATGATCCATTCTGTAGAATTTTGCATTGCAAATCTGGCAGAGGATTTCCCGCAGCCCTTTGCACTTCCATTTGTGTCGTGAAAGAACATGGGACAGGGTGTATACTTTGCCACAGTTGTCACATTTATACCCCCAACTTTTGTTTACTTCTTGGTGAGCAAAGTGAGCAGCCATTCTTTGTGACGTGTTGACATCATAAGCTGTGGTGGGAATAAAATTTTATAAAACTTAATGTGGGCCAATAAAAAAATGCATTTAAAAATTAATAATTTTATAGGGGATTCTGTCAGCTGTATTACAATTTCAAACAAAAAATCTTTGTCTTTAATGTGGTACCGCTATTAAAGAATATTTTGTTTGGAAGTGCATGTAGTAATGTAGTATAGAATAGAATGATCATATGGTAATAACAGTACTACCAGGTATAGGAAAAATCCTACTTTGGACGAGGGCGATTATGGGTGACAAAAACAAGCTACACTGTATTAAATTAGTTTTCCCGTTTCATGCAAGAATGCTACTAATTATATATATGTGTTGGTTGATACGAATTTTGAAAAGAAGACTTGTTACGAGTTTTTATTCAAGAAATTATTTCATTTTCCCACCACTTACCATTGCTGCATATTTTCTGATTATTTCACTTTGGAATTTTTTTTTCGGAAATGAGTGTCCTTATTACTACTGTTACGCTACCGGTTCCCACTTCAAGTACCGGGTGCCGGTATTATACCTATTTCAATAACTGCATAATTGTTTCCTGACATGGGGAGTGAGAGGAAAAAATAGAAATTAAAATCATTTAAAAATCAACTCAAGATCCTGGAATACTAAAAATAAGGTTGCAACTTTTTATTTTCAAAGTCTTTTTTTTAACAACATGAGTGAACAAGAAAGCAATGAATAGTAATAATAGTAATAGTTAATAGTATATATCAGTTGGTGGAAACATCAAATACATATCATCATATGGAATCCATTCAGGATACCGGCAATATATCAAGTCAACGTTCACTCAACTCACATAATATTGCTATACAGAAGCTCTGCAATTGGTAAACATTAAAATTTGTTACACTTTTGGCCTCATCCACAGTTCAATTCTATACAATTTTCCATATCCAATCAATATACCCACCAGGCTTATGAATCTGTGAAAAATCAAGCATAACATTTTTGCATCACTTTTTACAGCTACCGATATTCGAATATATCAGTCAGAAATGTCGTACCAGTACCCGGTTGCAGAACTGAAGTTTTAAATAAACTCATAAAAATGTGAGAAGAATTTAGGTTACCGTTATGTTATTATTAATAAATTTAATAAAATTATATTTTACTTTTATATACCGTACCCGGTAAAAATTTTAGAAACATTGATGTGTGCGAGTTGCTTTCATCAATAAAATAATTTTAAATGTTTCTTCTCCTTGTGGCTCTAATATCCCTATATAATGGAGTTAATGGACCATCAATTATTTTATTTTTCAGACCATTAAGTTTAAGGTACCGGTACCAGGTAGTGCTATCCAACCAATTAACATTACCGTACATTAATAAGTAACAATTAATAATAATAATACAATATTTCTTTTGAGTTGTCGTGTGCGGCCCAAGACTTCGCAAAAAAAAAAAAAAAAATACCGGTATATATTTTTGGCCCATGGTCATGGAGGTAAATAGTTAATAATACAATATTTCTTTTGAGTTGCCGTGTGCGGCCAAAGACTTCCAAAAAAAAAAAAAAAAAAATACCGGTATATATTTTTGGCCCATGGTCATGGAGGTAAATAGTTCAGGCCCGGACCTAGGTCATTTTATTAATTTTAGAAGACTATTCACATTACCAGTACCAGTATTATAACCTAGTACCTCTTACCTCCTCATGCATAAAGAAACATATATTATGATAATGATTTACCGTACCTCGGCATTAAATCAAAATCCAATACCAAGCCTCCGAGCTCGACCAAGAGTATAAATAAAGCTAATAAAAACTGTAGCACTTCTTATTTTTATTTTTTATTTAGTAGAGTTAGAGGAATCTTTAAGTTTAAGTACCGGTACCTGGTAACAACACTCATTAGATTTTCTAAATGTTCACCAGTCAAAGCTTTATGTTTTTTCGACTTGTTGGTCATTAGTTACAGTAACCAGGTACTGAGAATCCAGCTCCATAATTGCAGCTTTATACTATACACATTGCGAGAAAGTCTCATTACTGGTAATCAAGTATTATGGTATCGTACCATAAATTGTTCACACTGCCCACCCTAATCATTTGTGACACCTTCAGTATCTCAGCTCCCATCTAGGTTACCGGGTGCTGATTTACTCTGACCAGAAGACTTTCCTGTCATATTATCATCATCCTACTAAGCACAGTCATTAACGTATGGTTCTAACCTTTTAATCTAATCTGGTTCAGATGGTGAGGGTGTGATGAAGGCACAGACATTTTTAAGATGATGAAATAGCTACAAATCAAGATACCCGGTACTGGTACTTTTGTTTCCCCAATTCATCTTTTCCAATGCCGTTAGTAAGTATACCCAATACCCTGTGGTGCCTCCCCTGTACAAGCAACAAAAAGTCGAAAATTGAATCCAATTTAATTACCCGCCATGTTCCTGAACAGTTGCTCCGTTGTGTTTGAGTTTAACATAAATTACTGATCCCTGTCAAGCCATCCCACTCCTTAGATTTTGTGACATCCTCCTTTTCAAAATTACAACTTCTCCTGTGCTCTCATGAAATTTTCCACACAAAGAAAATTATGAATCAAATAATATTGTTTGAAAATATTTTCACCCTACAAAGTTTCTTTTTTTCTTTTTTACACAAAAAAATTTCTGAAGCTCTGATGGACCAGTTAAAATCAGTTTGCAGACAATCGAGTTGGATAATGCTGAATTCAGGCATAACTCCTGTACAAATAGTCTCCTTACAGAACAAGGTTTTAAAAAAAAGAAGGATAAAGGATAGATTAAAAATAAAAATTTGCTTTAGCAGAGAATATAATCATAAAAATAATGATCATCCCTCACATTTTTCTATACCGGTAATAAGATATATAAGAGCTTAACTATTAACACTGCACTTTATAAATAATATAAATCAATATTTCTATGTAATGAAAAATCATTCCTCAAAAACAATTTTTATCTAGCCATTTACTTAGAATTTTAAGAAATTAAATTTGTGACAAAATAATTGTTACACTTAAACACTTATGAAATATAATTATTTTCTTCTAAATATCTGGTCATTTGCATAGATCATCCAAAATCCATACGGCTCAATTTACTTGGTTTTAAGAATTTTGCAGCATAATTTATTATAATATGGTATGCTGCACAAAAATCTATATCAGTTTAAGGTTCAATCCTGAGTCATTTAAGGAAATTTATGTTATTATCATAATTTTAATTATTAAACCATAATTACACTTTTTGGTGGGTTTTCTTTAAATGAATGATTGTCACCTATACATTTTTTAATAAAATCTGCATTGTAAAAAGAATGTAAAATTCCCTTTATATTTAATTAAATGTGACTGGTAAATCAATAAAACAATTTTCCTCATTAACTGTCCCAACTACTTCTTCACTTCTCCGAGACTCGTTTGATTTGAATACATGACTTTGAGCTTGAAGATGCTTTTTGAACACATCCTTTCGTGCAAAACTAAGACAACAAGTGTGACAAAAGAAAAGCTGATTTCTATCACCAAGTCCGTGAGAGCAGCGTTTATGTCTGGCCAGATTCTGAGGATAGTTGAAGCCAGCTGAACATATTTCACAGCGGTAAGGGAAGTTGATTAGATGTCTCACTCTGTTGTTGGCTGGAGGTGATATCAAATCATATTGGATATAAAATCATAACACAGATTATAAACAGAAAGTGTAAATTTCACCAGAAAAGATAAATGTAAGATAAGTAGAAATCAACGTTTTAAAAAATAAAATAAATATACATTGTTGGCATGAGGCTGTGATCAACTGACATGTAGTAAGGCTGGAAGCACAATTTTTAGAATAAATACATCTTTTTTTAAAAGTGTAAAGGTTTCATCCTAACAGAATAGAATAATGGACTTTCATTTCTTTAAAGATTTGGCAAAGTTCTGTATACAGAAGCATATTGATAAACACAAAGCTGCCTGACTGATGTGAAACAAGATTTGAATAAGATGCTAACAAATATGTCCTGGGATGTCTGTATGCTTCTTACAATGAAAAATAGCTTAAAAATAGACAAAGGCAAACCAGCTATTTTGAACACTATCTCTGTATAAGTATAACAGATAACAGCAAACATTTTCATGACACTTAGTTATTCCTATAATTTATAAAGGAAGTGATATGAAAAATGCTGACCAGTTACACAATTTTAAACCTATGTATCGGTATCTAAATAATTTTTTAATTACTTATTTAAATCTTAAACTTAAACATTATAAACCATCTAAACTTTCATTAAACCAGAATATTTTTATAATACAAATATGTATAAACTGTATTTAATGCCAGATGTTCTTAGTATTCAAATCATAGTTAGTGGGTCTTAAACAGTTCCTAGAGAAAAAGCAATTACTTCTTCTATTGGGCAGAAGTCTCAAAACCATGAAACATTTTTTGATGTTTTCTGAACACATCTTCTCTTGAAAATTTTTTGTTACACTGGTCACATTGAAATGTCACACCCATAACTTTTGCCAAGTGCCGCTTTAGGCCTCTCAAATCACTGTATGTATTGTCGCAGTGGTCGCAAATGAATCGATTACGCACAGGTGCCCCAGAAAATGACTCCTGATCACATATGATAGCATCTGAAAAGTCTGCATCCTGGTAGCTCTCTTGTGTTTGTTTGCTGGAAAGAAACTGCCTTAAATCTGCATGTTCATGCTCTAGGTGGTACTTAAATAGAGATTCCACTTCAGAATGGAATTCACAAACACCACAGTGAAAAGGATGCTGTATTGTTGGGTTGCAGCACATACTTTCAGGAGTACCAATTTTCTCTAAATGGTGAAAAAATTCTGTATAGTTGTCAAATGGGTTTGGACAGAAAGCACAGGTAAACTTAACACTGTTAGTGTTGTACTCCAAATCTGACTTTATCACAGGAGCCATGTGAGATGACTGGATATGATTCTTCAACTCTGGTGCAGTTCTAAACATCAAATTACAAAGGGAACAAGATTTTGATTTACTAAGCTTGGGGTT